CTGGGGGGCGGGGGGGTTGCTGGTGTGGGGGCCAAAGAGGGTTTTCCAAGGCTGCTTGATCCCACTTCTTTTTTTTTTTTTTTTTTTTTTTTGTTGTTGTTGTTGTTGCTTGGTTAAGTGTATTGCACATGTGTAATACTTAGAGGCTTCTGGGAAATGCTTAATTGTAAAAAGTTTCATTTAATTTTTTACAACTAGGAAAAAACCTTTTTTTTCCTGTGAAATTAGATGTTAAACCACTGAGTGATAATTGTTGATTAAAGATAAGTATAATGTGATAAATTATGCACAAGGATAAATACAGATGAATGGATCCATGGATGGATAAATTAGAAAATAGAGCTGTATAAAAGATATTACATCTATTGACTTGCATTGTAGAATGAAAGTTAAGTGCTGGTGGTTAGCCATTATGTATATATATATATATATATATATATATAAAGGTGTAGCAAATGTTTGCATTTTGAATTATAGGATTGTTTTAGAGGGAATGTTAAGTTGCAATACATTTAGTAAATACCATTCTATTATTTATATAAGTTTCATCTTAACTGTTAGCTTTGAACCACACTCCAGGTATGTTTTTGATGAGGAAATGACATTACTCCATGATTTAAGACTCAAAAAAGTCAATTGTGCGTAACAGCCCTCTTTAGAAAAAAAAAACATAGAAATTTAGTTACTTCTTTTCTGGTTTGTTGATGTTCATAAAAATAAACAGAATTTTCTTCTTTTCTTTGTCAGGACATAGAGAAAACCATGAATACAGCCCTGCATGAATTGCGAGAGCTGGAGCGGCAGAATGTAGCCAAACATGCCCCCGATGTTGTCCTGGACACCCTGGAGCCCCTCAAGCACCCCGGTGCCGCCCAGGAAATGTCTGCCAGCCCCCTGCACACCATGGTGATCAGGGACCCGGACGCAGCCCAGCGGCGTAGCAGCAGCAGCTCCTCCTCCGAGACCATGACCACTTTCAAACCAGCTCTGTCGACACGCAGACCGAGCGCGCCTCTAAGGCCCCCGCCGGTCAGGCCTGTGCGACCGGCTCCGGTGATCGGACCTGGCCAGGGACCGCACCGCTCCAGCAGCTCCAGCTCTTCTGGTCTGGGCAGTCCAGGCATCACCCCCACTGAAAGGGTGTTTCCTAAAGCGCCCTCCCCATCGCCGTCCACGTCCTCTTCGTCCTCAGACAAACAGGGTAACATGTAGCTCCAATCTGCCAGCTGTCAAGAACAATGTGGATAATGAATGATATCAGCACATCGTCTTTATATCAATAGCAAACAACAACACCCAATTTGTCCAATTATTTCCCCACTAATCTTGTACGAGGTATGATTGCTGCTTCTGGTTTCTTCTCACTCCACCTGGAAGCAAGTGACTGTACTGTTTAACAGTGATTATATTACACAGAAATATGAATTTAAACTATAAAAATTACTTAATAGACTTCTTACAAAGCTGGAATAAAGAGATGCACTGGAGAATATTTCTGTTTACCGAGATATGAAACGTCTCGCTGAAACAATATTAGATTACAGAGATGCTGTGAGCTTGTGCTTTGTGTCTGGTTTCCTGCTCCATTACCATGACACACTTACGGGAATACTACACCACTTACCATGTAGACATCCAGACTGTGCTGGGGGTTTCGTGTTTGAATATTTCCTTCAGAACCACTTACGTTGATGGAGAGAGGTTAATGTTGAGAAAACTGTCCCACTTTGGAACAATATTGGAAGACGGCATGACTGAAGGACGATATCCGCTGCCTCAAGCTGCAGTTCTTCTGATGAACACAGAATGCTGCTTCTGTAGGAATTAAAACTGTCGTATTTGCCTCGACAACAGCTTCAAAGCATATAGCATTTGGAAATTATACACATTCATATATATTTGTTGCAGTTTTCAGAAATCTGGGAAATGCTGCAGGTGCTGGTGAAACTCGCGGCAGCGCAGGGATTTGGCTTGAACTGACGGGCAACTTAAGCACAAATGTGACAAAATGGCTCCACGCACTGTTGTGATCCCAACTTGTGGTGCTGCTTTAGTTTACAGTTTGGGAATCAGCAGCATCTGTACCATTCCTCCACCTCATTGTGCCATTTTTAAAACACTATCCTGACATTTGATAAATACAGTATTTTGCAAAAGTGTTCAAACCCCTCGTACGTTTTCACATCTTCATGTTACAATTACATACCACAACGTTGTGTGATTATTGGGGAGATTTTTTTTAAGTTAAAGTTATGCTTTATTATAAAGCGGAAGGAAAATTATACGTTTTTCAGAATTGTATGGAAATAAGAGTATGAAAAGTGTTACATAAATTTGTCGACTTGAAGCTAAACGACTTTAGCTTCAAGTCGTTTGCCTCTTTCTCTGAACATTCTTCTTTGGAAAACACCCGTCGCTTCATCTGAGGATATATGAAGGGTAAAGTTCAGGTTTTTCAGCTGGTTCTAAATTGGGTTCATATCAATTCAGACTGGCTTTGCTTCCCCAACTAAAGAAACCATGCTACAGTGTGGATGAACTGTTCATTGTGATGTGTGGTGGTAATTTTACTGCACTCTGAAATGTTTCAGTTTTGGTCTAATGTACCCACGGGGCATACTTTCACACGTTTCCTGGAGGGCTACTGCTTCTTTTAGCGTTTTTTTCAGCAATGGGTTTCTTCTTCTTCTACCCCTTTGAGGCCAGATTTGTTAAGTGCAAGGCTAACAAATTGTCATGTTAGCCTATTGGATCTTTGTTGCTACTCCAGAGTTACCATGGACCTCTTGGTTTAATGCTCCACTTGCTTGGATTGCAGTTTCCAGCAAAGCAGTTCAAAGCTTGGGATTTGTTTTTATAGCCTTGACCTAATAATTTCTGTAATCTGCTGTGTTCCTTGGTCTACTTGATGCTGCTTGTTCATTATATTTTCATCGAAAAAATGAGGTTTTTAGTGAGTTTTAATGACACACAGACGGGCTGTTTTCTAAATTAGCAATTCTGAAAGTCGTTCATTGCACTGGATATTATTTTGAGACATCGGAGTAAAAGGAACAGAATAGAAAAATACACACTTTTCCGTGTTGGTTATTTATATCATACTCCAACTAATTACACAAATTTGTGGTTGCAATTTGGAAAAAAAAAAAAAAAAAGGCTCACAGGGATAAAATTGTTTTTGCAGTGGACGTTGTAGTGTGTTTTGTATGTGTCTTTTTTATAGAAGGCAAATGTTATCATCTCATCTTTACTGCTTTATTTCATTCTTCATCTGTCAATTTCAGAACTGTCCAGAGGGGGGCAGTATAGACCAAGTTACAGTGGTGCACAAGACATGAAGCGTTAGCGTTACATAGCTTTCATGATCATTTCTGTGACAAAAAAAGGATGAAGCAAAGTTTAGTTTTATTCAAGAAACGATATCCCTATCTCTTTTTACCACATTATTAGCTGTGTTACCTCTAAAACAAGTGAGACACTTGCACAATTCAGTTGACTGAAGCACTAATAAACTACATGGAGCTGAGCTGTTTGTAGGTTCTGTCTTCACCCTGAAGCTGCACTAGAAACAAGCTTGTCCAGGTTGCATTGGGTCTCTGCAGGCTGTTACTGTTGCTTTCTCTTGATGACATGTGTTGCCCCCTCCTCCAGGGGGTTGAGCGACATCTCTTTAAAGTATAAAAGGTACATACGATGGGATGACTTAACACCTACTGCTAAATATTGCTTGTAAATATAACATTGTATCATAGGAACAGGATATATACAGTATATATGTATTATGTGTAATGTGTAGATTTTTCTAATTCTTATCCTTGCACAGATATTACCTGAACAATAAACTGAAAAAGTGTCAAACATTGAGCAAGGCTCCTGTCTGTCTTTGTGTTCTTAACATCACGTTGAGTTTCTCTCTGTTATTGATTTGAAAGATACATTTATTATTCCCCAATAGTACAATGCAATTCATTAAATTAAAAAGACATTTTAGTACCACCTGCCGGCCAAAATGAAAACTGAACTTGCATGAATTTTCTTCAATTTGTAGGTTTTGTGTTTAAAATAATTATCACTTTATAATTATTTAAGATTTATTGTTGTACAGCTTATTTCACATGGCTATTGGATAGAGAGGCATTGTCAAAGTAAAACTTGTAACAAAATTAAGTTGATTCGATCGAGTATCGAAGTATTGAAGAATCTTAAAGTTCCTAATTGTATGAAGTGAGTTTGAAATTTTTCTTTTATCGCTTTCCAAATCTAGAAATGTATGGAAAGAGGAAAATGCAGTTTTTCCTCATGTTTGATTTTCTAAAGAATAAAAAAATTAAACACACAGCAATGTTTATTTAATGCAGTGAATTTAATTTTAACATTTTACCCATTAGTACTTTGGTTCCTTAAAAATAGCAGCACTTAAAAATCAAAAAGGCCATGCCATAGCTCTTTGGACTTTAGAACCTAAAATCTATTCACCAGGTTTGGTTATAAAGCTGTGAAGCATTAAAACTCCAACTTTTTTACCCCCAAACAAAGTAAATATACAAAAGTTTATAAGTCTGCATTTGGTATTTTACATTGCAATCATTTGGTAAGTACAAGTACAAATTTTGACTTAAAGCTATAGTAAACTGATCCAGATGCCCACTAAATTGTATAATTGTGCTAATACTCGGTCTATGTGAAGACCTCTGATGCTTCTTTATTTGCATTTGCTTGCCAGAAGCCTGGTGTGATTAAACCAAAACCGTATAAATGTAGCTACGAGTATGCATTATGAAGACACATGCACCTGCTTTCTTGATTTTTTTCTTCTTCTTTAAAGTAGGCCAGTAAACCCCCAGAGGATCACAAGATTAATTTAAAGAAAAAAACTGGAAATAAGACGGAAACAAAGTCATGTCAGCTGTTTTACTTCACATTAATTTCCCCACCTAGTAGAGGAAAAGCACAGTTAATTTCCAGTTTTTTTTTTTTTTTAAACATGATGCAGGACTCATCACTTCCTGTAGCAGATATGCAAAATCTCCATGTGAATGGGAAGGTTTCAAGCTTATCTGAACAATAGTTAAGTCAAAAAGAGAAGAACTGAAGAAAAACGATTGATTAGGTTTTACAATTTATTGCTTCAGTTCTTTAGCTGGTTCCTTGCTCTTACTGGTCACTGCTTTGGAAATGCAATGTTGCAAACCTTTCAGCAGCAAATCAGCCTCCGATCTGAGGCAGTGTGGCTATGCAAACATAATACAATGAATGCTTTATGTTTGATTTCCTCTTCAAAACTAAAACCGGCAGGTGTTTCACTTTCCATAACCTTATCAGGAGTAGTTCAAAAGGCTTTTTGTTTGTTTGTTTCCGGGTTGTTGTTGGTTTTTTTGTGTGTTTTTTTTTGTCATGACCGGCCCCCAGGATCACCTTTAATTCATTTAGGTTTGTTTATTGGGACCTAAGTGAGAATGTAACTAGATTTGCACTTGGAACCAGGCCTGAATGGCTCAGGGAAGAGGGAACAGGCTACTTGTACATTAGCAGCCGGCTGTCCGGCTGTGGTCTCTTTGTTCAAAAGGCTTTTTCATTAGTGCTGTGATATGATTAGTAAGGCCAGCAGCAGGTTTGAGGCAGATATGAGGTGAGAACCATCGGTCAATATCAGAAAACGGTTTATGAAGATAAACATGTAAGTTCGCAAGTATTTGATCAGTTATTCTGAGACCATATTATACTCTGTACAAAAATATACATGTAATTTATATGTTTACTTTGTAGATCATACACTTGATACCTTTTTTTATATTTTGTCATGTTAAAACCACAAACAAAATAAGCATTTCTGAAATATATTTGTGACAGAAAACACAAAGTAGTGTTTGTGTTTTCTGTCACAAATATATATATATATATATATATATATATATATATATATATATATATATATATATATATATAACCCCAGCCTGTGAATGAAAAGGTTGTGCTAAGAGACCTGAAGCACAGTAGAGAGGGAAACAGAAGGATCGATAAAGGTTAAGGCCACCTTCCTCCTAGTGCTGAGAAAATGCATTAATAATTGTATTTAATTACATTGTTTAGGTTGAAACTGACAAAGTTTCAACCTAAACAATGTGTCATACTGGTACTGGTACTTCTTTAAGGCCATAAGTCTTAATAAGGGATAAATTGACTCAAACTTGTTTACAGATCGAATATTACTGACACAGACCTACCGATGTTTATATCATGAAGAGGAGAGAAATATTTGGAGACATCTTGTGTCCACAAATTTTCCTCAGTACAAGAAAATGGAGAAAAGGGGGAAAGTCTGGCTGTCAGCTTCGTGACCTTAATGTCAAAAACAACAGCTAGGAGTGTTACTTTATTTTTGTTGGGTATCCTCAAACAACTCAACTCTAATACTCATTGAAAGCAGGTTTCGGGTCACAATAGATATTGAGATTAATGATATCCTTGCACAAGATAGAACAAAAAAAAAAACACAAATTGTTTACACAAATAATTTGTCAAGGTTGCTTGCAGACTAATAGCTTCCATTATAAACTGAATCTCTCTGTTTGTGGTAGATTAGCTCTGAGGAGGCATTTGTTTGTTGCTGATGCATGTAATTTGCACATTTTCTTGCTGCTCACTTGGTTGATTGGGGTCCATTAAAAGTATCAATTTACCTTTCAATATGGCTTTTTCTGGCAATCTTTTTATGCAATTAACTGGCAAGATCTTTATCAGAACTCAGCTTGCAGCTATAGTGTAAAAGTGTAACACTCACTGACATAGTTTGGTCTTAGATACAGAGCCTGCGATTAATATATTTGAAAGCAGTTTGCAAATAGTTTGATTATATTTAGCATTTTCTCTGGTTTCCTTTAAAATCTTAAAGCATGTAGGAGTTGTGTTTTTGTAAAGCGGAGATTTTTGCACCTTTTAGTTTCAGCCTTTTCTTCCTCCACCTCATTGTTATCATTGTTATGTTAGACACTTGTACAGATTTATACATAAATCTACAATTTAAAGCAATCAGGAGCAAACAAAAACCACAACCTCTCCAAATTCTCAGAGTACATGACTAAGGCCCCATTTGGTGGCATCATCTCATTAAGACAGTACTGCTGCTACCACATTTCTTCACACAACCCCCACAATACCTCTTCAAAACCTTGCATAGACCATTCATGATCTATCCCATTTTTATTGTGGTGAGGTATAAAAATACATGCGAAATTTAATATGTTATGCTTCTTACTTTGACTATTCCTTTCTCTATATTTTGCAGAAAGAAATGCAATCACCCCTATGTATTTATAAGCAGTTATGCTTTGTAGGCCCACATTTCTATTTTTTTTTTTTTACTTACTTGAAATTTATTAATACTCATGTTTCTATATTGGCCTGATGTAATATTCTAATCCAAAATGTATTTGCATTAGCTATAAGTGAAAAATCATCATATTTAACAGAATTAAAGGAAACATCAGTCTGAGTGTGATTAAAATATTTAATTTACTTCACTTAGTTAACTGATGTATGTACTTTTCTGTGATACTCTAATTTACCAAATGGTTTATATGGCACATTGTCACTTTTATGCACAACTAAAAAGTGTCAGTGATAATGGGACACTTTTTAAAATATCCAAATAGGTTCAACACATTTTGCACTTAGTCATTCACAAAGTAAAATTGTAGCCAGAGAGCTTGTTGTTCTCACACATCTTTTATTTTTGTAGATGTCAAATTGTTTCAGGCATTGTGACAGACTACTTCCCTCGGCCCGAACAACTAATTTCCAAACCTAACCTCACTTGGCCCTCACCAGTCCCAGCAGGCTGTCTCTTTCGCTTTGTTCTAGTTTGCGATACAATCGAGTCACCACTTTATTCTTCTCTTTTAAACCAAGAAACTACGCGGACTGTTCCCAGCTGAAGAGCCCAATCTCTAGTGATGGGTCAGCTCAGTTGGCTTTATCAGACTCTGTTCAGATCACTGAAGTGGTTTTCGCTGTCGAGTCAGGGTGTAGGAGTTAACGAGGAGGAATAAATCATAATAAAACCACAATCCTATAGAGAAATGAGAAAGATAATGCTGCAACACAATTTATTTTTAATCCAAAAGAATGTTTAAGTAAAGAGGGATTATTATCCTTTGCAGTTAAATTGACAGTATTAGTATTCTTGTTAGGGTTCAGACACATAATTCAAATGAGACCCATTGAGATAAGCAATATTAATGTCCATCCATTCAGGCACAGTACAATGTGTGATATTTAAGCAAGAATTTTAACACTTTTGAAAATTTGAAGCCAACTCTTACAAAAGAAACTAGGGCAACAAGTACTGTGTATATTTGCCCCATGCTTATCTCTCATGTCTTTAACTCAGCAGTATAGCGCATCGCTGGTTTTCATCTGAAGTTATTGCAGCAATCTATTCTGGTAAAAGTTAAAATACCTTCATGATTCTCAAAGCCCATCCTGCTTTGATGTTGAGAGCCACAAAGTTGATGTTTTTTCTGGTTGCAAAATGTGAAATCAGGTGAATGTGTTCCAAGTGAACTTTTACATCAGGGAACGTTTTGCTTGAAGGAACCCAGACAAATGACAAGAGGCACAGTGTACTTAAAAACATCACACATCAAAAGAGAAAGAAGTGGTGAGATTAACAGTAAAATATTTGATTCTAAATCAAAAGTGCCGACTTTATTTGCACAGCTCACATAGCTTGACAAAGTTAAGTGGGAAGCCAAATACAGCACATTTTCAGATAATCTGACCAAAACGAGTGAGATATAGTAAAACAAAAAGAGTCAGCAAAAACAGCATAAATTGAAAACGGGAGAATCAGACCTGTCTCTGGC